TCCCGGGGGGTCTGTGACCCCCCAAAGGTCCCCGGGGGGCGCCTATGGAGGAGGGTGGCATCGGCCCGCCCCCCCCCCCCCCCGGCCTACTCCGATGTATATATATATATATATATACAGATGTAGCACCCCGCATATGCGGACAAGAGGGAGGGGGCGGGCGTGTGGCGGGTCGTGGGTGGGTCGCGGGCGGGGTCGCGGGGTGGGTCGCGGGCCCGGTCGCGAGTGGGACGCAACAGCAGCAACCAACAACAGCAACAACAACAGCAGCAACAACAACAGCAGCTGCAACAGCAGCAGCGACAACAACAATCGTTCTAAGACTGTTCGCTCTTACTTGCCCGCGTGTCAGTCAGAACGAGTTCCCCACACCCTCGATACCCGCCCTTTTTGTCTTCGATCATAGACAGGCGGGCGAACCTGAAGGGGCGGACAATCCTTCGTGAACGTACATGTGTCCGCCATTGAAATTGGTGTAGGCCCTGCAAAAAAGAGGAGGGGGAAAACGCGGGAGAGTGGGAGGAAGGGAGGGGGAGGGACGAAGGAAAAGGGAAAACGCCAGGAGAGAAGGAGCGAAGAGGGGGGCGGTTGATTAGAGACAGAGAGAGAGAGAAAGAGAGAGAGAGAGAGATAAAGAGAGAAAAAGAGAGAGGAATCAACAAAGACAGCTAAGAGAGGTAGAGAAAGAAAGAGAGAGAGAGAGGGGAGGGAGAAGGGAGAGAGAGAGAGAGAGAGAGAGAGAAAGAGAGAGAGAGAAACACAGAGGGAGGGAGGAGGCAGGAGAGGGGAGGGAGAAGCGAGGAGGGAGAGGAGGGAGAGGGGATGGGGCAGAGAGGCATAAGGATGAGGGAAGAGAGGGAGAGAGAAGGGAGGAGAGGAGGGAGGAGGGAGGAGGGAGAGGGAGGAGGAGCAGGAAGGTAAGAGCGTGAACATTCGAGGAAGTCCTAGGCGAAAGCGCCGTTCCTGAAGGAAGTCTCGGGCGGGAGCTCACGACGGGCGGGCGATTCCCTGATGGGCGGGTCGGGCGGGTGGGACATTCAAGCGGGATGCCTGAGTATGGCGAGAGCGCGATTACTAAGTAAATTGTAACGGCGTCATTGGCGCAGCGTGTTTCCTGAGCGTCGAAAGCGCGATTTCAGAATCAATTGCATGGAAGTCACAGGCGAGAGCGCAATTCCTGAATCACATGTGAAGGGTTCTCTGGCGGGGGCGAGGGTCTTGATTAAATTGCGAGGAAGTCTTGATTCAAGTGCGAGGAAGTCTCAAGCGGGAGCGCCGATCCTGATTAAATTGTGAGGAAGTCTCAGGAGTGGGGGTCCTGAGTAAATTTGGAAGAAGTCTCAGGCGGGAGCCGTTGTTGTTGTAATCTGGGGGGCCAGGGGCCCAGTTTGAGCACCAAGACTTTCCCTGTCAAAAAACAAGGTGCGAGCGTCGAGGAGCACACTTTGATTGAGAACAAATAATATGCACTGGTGAGGGGGATCAACAATAATTGTTGGTCAGAAGTGAGAGTTCAACGACTACGACAACGACAACAACAACACCACCAACAACAACAACAACAACGACAACAGCAACAGCAACACCAACAATAACAACAGCAACAGCAATCACAACAACACAATCAACACCAACAGCAACAACAACAGGGGCAACAGCACCCCCCCCACCACCACAACCACAACAACGCCCACCAATAACAACAACAATCGTTTTAATCCTGTTCGCTTCTATCTGCTCGCGTGCCAGTTCAACACGTATATCCCAAACCCTCGGTACCCGCCCTCTTCGTCTTCGGTCGTACCACCTTGGGGGTATATCTTCCCTAGCTGCCACGTGCATTCAGCGCAGTCCCTAAAACAGGGGAAGAGGGAGTGGATGGAAAGGGGATGGAGCACGAGAGGAATTAGCAGGAGAGAGGAGAGGGAGAGGGAGAGGGAGAGGGATGGAGCACGAGAGGAATGGAGAGGGATGAGGGAGAGGGAGAGGGAGAGGGAGAGGGAGAGAGGAGAGGGAGAGGGAGAGGGAGAGGGAGAGGAATGGAGAGGGATGAGGGAGAGGGAGAGGGATGGAGCACGAGAGGATTGGAAAGGGGAAGAGGGAGAGGGATGGAGCACGAGAGGCATTAGCAGGAGAGAGGCCTAGGAGCCGAAAACACGTGGCAGCACCAGACGGGCAGATCGGGCGCGGCCCTGACGCGTTCTCCAAGCCGAGCCACACCGCGGGCGACGAGAACCTCCGGAACCGCCCGGCGAGCCTCGGAAACCCCGACCCCCGCTCGGAACATGTCTCGGGAGCCGACCCCCGCTCGCGTCCGCCGGCCCTGCGCCGACGTCCGCCGAGGAGGAGCTGCCCCAGCGCCTCGGTGCCTCGACGGCGAGACCCCTGCAGCAATATGCTAGAGCGCGCCGGCCTCCGGAGCGCGCACCAGGTCATGTCCCGCAACCTCCTCCTCCTCCTCCTCCTCCTCCTCCTCCTCCTCCTCCTCCTCCTCCTCGTGTGCCAGCCAGCAGGCGGGAGGCCAGGGAGCAGAGGCAGTGACACCTGGGGGACTTCGTGGCCCTGGCCATGATATTCGGCGGTGGGCAAGCCTCCCTTTTGTAAACCTCCCCCTAGTGAAAACGGCCTGGGACCGAAACCGACGGACCTGGACCCGCAAAAATGACGGCCGCGACGCCCTCTCGCGAAGCGAAAACGGCCAATTCTTTAATCGACGTGTCAGGGTAGGAGGTCCACCCCCGAGACAAGCCCCTCCCCCGGCCTGGCGTTAGGTCGGGCATGCCCCCCTACAGGGGGATCTGATTCTGGAATAGCAGTGCGGCGCAGTCAAAACAGAATCCCAAATGGTCCAGAGAGTCGAAGCATCGTCCCCAGACTGTCCTCCAAACATATTCTTGGCGACTCCTCCTTCGGGTCGGGCGAAAGGGGGGGATAGCAAAGGGGGGGTTTGAGAATCAGCTCACGTAGATGATTTTCCCAGCGCCTCCCGGCGCCGGGAGGCGCCCATGTATCGAGGAATGGGCCCGGTGGCGGGGCCGGAACCAGCTGCATGCAGCAAATTTCGTAACCCCCCCTTTCCCAATCCCCCCCTTTCGCCCGGCCTGGCTCCTGCAGAGGGACAGGCCTGGCTTGAGCCCAGCCCTCGCCCCCCTCTTCGACGCCGGACGGCTTCCGGCTCACAGCCCGGGCCTCCGGCGGCCCCTCGGGGGGGGGGGGGGGGATTGCGGGGCGCCCCTGGAAGGGGCTCCCGACGAGGCGCCACTGCTGGAGAGCACACCAGGGCGAGGAAGCCCTGGGAGAATCGGCCAAAGCTTCCTCCCCCCCTCCTCGCCATCGCTCGGGCGTCCATGCCCCTCGCATTCGTCGGTTTCGTGCGATCCCTTCTTCGCAAGGTGAGCCAGACTGCTCCTCGATGGTCCTCGCCGGGAATGCCAGCTCCGCGATCAAGCGCCACTGCCTCGAGGAGGTGGGCCTCCAAGAGCTCTCTTTCCAGAGCCTTCCAGAATCAGGGCGCCGTAAGACTCGGGTACGGGGGGCTCGGGCTGGCCGGACGGGGCCATCGTCAGAACGACGAGAGCCGATCTGAAATCTGACGCGAGCTCCCGCTGCAAACATCCCACGAGCACTGGACCATCAAAATCCAGGACGCGCTCGTAAAAACAACGCCAGCAAGCCCGAGTTGTGGCTTGCTCGAGGCTAGCGTTCCCCCGGCAAAACGACCCCAGACGTCTCAGAACCTGCTCGAGCTGCCATCCTGGAGCCGCGAGCTCGACGAGGCTTCGCCGACTCCCCGAGCGGTGATGGCCATTAAGGCTTCGGGCTGCGCGCTGGCAGCCTTCCCAGGTCCCAGGTAGTCTGGAGGCCTCCTGGATGGGGTCAGCCATGCTCAGCCCTGCTCAGCCCTGCTCAGTCCTGCTCAGCCCTGCTAAGCCCTGCTGAGCCCTGCTGAGCCCTGCTTAGCCCTGCTGGGCCCGGCGGAGCCCTGCTAAGGCCTAGCACTGCTAGGCCCTGCGAAGCCCTAGCTAGGCCCCGTGTCCCCGCAGCCAGGTCCTCCGGTGCAGCCATAACGCTCCAGGGTGCGGGGGCGTTATAATCCACCGGAAAGGGGGGGTTCTTAATGCCTTCTTGAGGTTAGATAGTATCGGAGGATCGCGCTGCATCGCCGATACGTCGGCGATACATCGGCAATGCATCGGCGATGCATCGGCGATGCGTCGGCGATACACCACCGATGCATCGTCGACGTGGGCGATGCATACGTCGGCGTGAAGCAAATCGGGCTCCGCATCGAGACGCATCGGCGATGCGGCGCGATCCTCCGACCCCATCTACTTCGACCCCATCTAGGAGACCCAGATCTTCCCAGCTGGACTCGACAGGCCCACGGAGCAATCCAGGGCGGTCTCAACACCCCAACCCGCGGGAGCGCCGCAGGGGCGCGGTGGGAGGCGGCGCCAGTGTGCTGAGACCGTCCTGGCCTACTTTCGGGGAGATGTAAGCCTCGGGCTCGGGGGCCTCGGGCTGGCCTGACGGGGCCATCACGAAAATGACGAGACCCAGTCTGAAGTGCGGCGCGAACTCCCGCTGCAAACATCGGACGCAAACTGGAGCGCCGGAATATGGGGCGCGCTCGCCAGAGAGCGCCGGCAGACCCGAGTGCCAGCGCCCTCGAGTCTCGCGCTTCCCCGATGCTCGGGGTGCCTGTTGAGGCCAGGCTGGGGCTGCTCGGGGGGCCCGTGGAGGCCCGGATGGACTGCCCGAGGGGCCGTCTGTGCACAGCCCGAAGATCTGCGGGCCCTGAGAGTATACACCACCACCACGTCGGAGCCTCCTCCCTCCTCCTCCCTCGATCGTCTTCCTATCCTCTTTCCTGCAAGAGGGAGGGGATGAGGGAGGTGGTGGTGGTGTATGCCTTGGGGCCCCGTAGAAGACTTTTGCCAGCGGTGAGCCCCCTCGGCGCGGCCCCCGAGAGAGGCGGAGGGCAGCTCGCGGGGAGTGGCCGGGACAGCCCACGAGCGCTGCAGGCCGACCACGGCGGGGAGGCGCCGCAGGTGCTCCGGCAGGTGGTCTTCCAGCGGTTGCCGCGCGGGAGCGCCTGCCCCCCCCCCGCCTCCTCCTCCCCCTCCTCCTCCTCCTCCTCCTCCTCCTCCTCCTCCTCCTCCTCCTCCTCCTCCTCCTCCTCCTCCTCCTCCTCCTCCTCCTCCCTCCTCCTCCTCCTCCTCCTCCTCCTCCTCCCCTCCTCCCCTCCTCCTCCTCCTCCTCCTCCTCCTCCTCCTCCTCCTCCTCCTCCTCCTCCGCCTCCTCCTCCTCCTCCTCCTCCTCCTCCTCCCCCTCCTCCTCCCCCTCCTCCTCCCCCTAAGACGACGGAGCCAGGACGAGGAAAAACATCGGGTGAGGACACATCGAAGAACTCTGAGACCCGGCGGCTCTGGAGGATGCCTCAGGCGCCGCGGCCCCCGGAACGCTCTGGGAGCGCTCCGGAGCGCTCTGGAACGGAGTTTCCTCGTACTGGCCCCGCACCTGTTCAGCGGAAGCCTGGGCAGCAGCAGTGTGCAAGCGTACTGTCTGGCGCACGCTCGTGCCATTGCTCGTGTGCCTATGGATAATGCACTCATCCATTCACTCGTTCATTCCTTCTGGCGCCGTCCGACCCTCCCCCTCGCCCGGCAGGCGCGCCCTGCGTGAGGGAGGGGAGGGCCGAGAGCCTCCGAGGGGGCCCACCTGGAGCGCTCCTAGCCGCCTCACGAGAGAGCCCTCCGCGGGCCCAACGAAGCCCTCCAGAGGACCCCCGCGAGGCAGACCGCTTCGGAGCGCGTGCAAGGGGCCCTCCGAGGGCCTTCCGAGAGCGCTCCGCGGCGCCGCGAGGCCACGCATGCCCCCAGAGGGATCGGTCGGGATCCCTGGGGCCGAACAGGAGGTCCCGAACTCTGCACACAGAGGCTTTTTCCGGCCCCGCACTGACATTCGCAAAGGAAAGCGGATCCTGTTGTACACGGGAACCTGGTGTGTACATGTTCCGTTGTTTCCTGGGGAAAACGGGGGAATAAACATACACCACACCACCCCGACGTCGTCCCTGGCCCTCAAAAAATCCGGGGATTGAAAAACAACCCGCCCCTGGCAATGTATGTGTTCCAGTGTCCGACAACACTGTGAATCTCACGTTGTCGGATGTCTGGGTCCGTCCGTCCACGGAGGCAGCTGCACGCCGCCGCCCGTCCCGTCGCCAGTGCCCACCTTGGGCTGTGGACGCCATGACAATGGACACCCTGACAATCCTTATCACTGTTATACATGTCGGGAAAATATCAGAATGTGTTAGACACGTGTCTAATGCTTTAAGCACGGTTAACACATGTTTGAGACATCTGGCAAATATTTGGCAACATGCTTCTTCTCTATTGATCGTCCTCCACAATCCTTGGGCCCAGACAGGGCCTGGATCCTGCCCGCCCGGCCTCGATCGGGGGAGGGCCAGGGCGAGCTCAGTCTGGTCTGGGCCCAAGAGCAATGGAGGAGGAAGACGAGGAGGAAGAGGAGGAGGAAAAGGAGGAGGAGGAGGAAGAGGAAGAGGAGGAGGAGGAGGAGGAAGAGGAGGAGGAAAAGGAGGAGGAGGAGGAGGAGGAGAAAGACAGGACGAGGAGGGGCGGCCCAAGATTGCTGGCGGCACGGGTCTTGACATCCCACGAGCAACGGCAAGCAACGAAACTGGAACGACGCAGGAGCCGCAGCCGCAACCGTCATCCTCTTGGGCGCCCGACGTTGGTACGCAAGACAAGGGCACGATGCTCAACACCAAATACTGTCCGAATCCGACCGCCGCCGCTTCTGGGCAGGCGGCCTGCTGTCTCAAACGGACAACGCCTGCGGCGACACGGACAGCGAGCTCTGCTCGAAAGGAGCAGGATCTGCTGTCGGCCCGTGCACACATTCCGCATCCGCTTCTGGGGGGGCAGCGATCAGGGGGGGACTGGCATAAGGTGGGAAGAATCGACCTGGAGTCGGCGATCCGTCGCCGGTAGATCGGCGATTGACGCCCGATAGCGAATCCGCACTCTCCTGTGCAGGTTGGGGCTATCGGCCCCAATCGGCGATCGATGGGCGATTGGGGGGGTCGATGAATCCCCCCCTATCCATCGATCGGAAGAAGTAGGTAGGAACATGAAGCAGGAAGGCGTTGAAAGTAAATTGAATCCGTCCGCCCCCTTGGGAGGACGGCAAAGGTGAAGCCACTCGATCATTGAAGTAGGAAGGCGCTTAAAGTATATTGGAATCTGGGACAGATCTAAGGCGGCCCAGAGTCACTGCAAGTCGTTCCAAGATGAAGGTGAAGTTTTTATTCAAAACGGTAACACGAATTATGTTGGTGGGTGGGTGGGTGGGTTCGCGCCAGCCAAATCACACGCGTTATGTTAACGACGCTTTTTATAATATATATATATATATATATATATATATATAAAGAACACGAGGAAACATCGAATTCTGGCAGAAGTTCGACCGAGCGCAAATCACCGGGCCCAGCGAGACCTCGGACCTTCAGGATGAATTCGCCAAGTGCTTCGTAGCTTGCAAACAATATTTGCGGCCCATATGACGATTAGCGTTGGATGGCGCGCGGCGAATCTGAGGAGTAAATTTGCCCTGGGTGGTGCCCCCCCCCGAATTCGGAATGGGTTCGGGCGCAGGGCTGAGGCTGGTTGTTTGCGGCCCCATGTGAGGATTCACCCCAGAGGCCGCGCGGCAAACGAGCTGGGCGCCTGAGATTTCAGGAGCGACGCGCGGCTTTGGAACGAGTTTTCTGCGGCCCCCGAATTAGGAATGGATTTTGGCAAGGGCGGAAATTACTTGCTTGCAAGCGAAATGTGCGGATCGTTCGAGAATTTGCCCTGGGGGCCCTGCAATGAAATCCGGAAGCGCGGTATGGAGGGGGCCCAAAGGAGGGGTCGCGCGAGCGGGGCGTTAACTGAGAGGAACTAAGAATTAGGGGGGACATTGAATACTAATTTTTTCCTGCGCTACTAATTCGCTGAGCAATTAATGCTGCAGCTGTACTGCAGGGTACTACAATTCATAGCTATTGCCGGCGGGCATGCTGTAGCTGCGACGAAACTGGCGCGCACGACGCCAGGAGCAGGAGGTCTGGGCCAGGAAAGGAAAAAAGGAGCCATAAAGAAATGTGTCAAGAAACTTGTACACTTAGGAAGGCATTCCGTTTTTTCTTTACGACGCCAGGAGGTCTGGGTCAGGAAGGGAAAAGGAGTTATACAGGAATGTGGTAAGGTAGTTTCCGAGTTAGAATGGGCTTACATATATAACAAAAAGCGACGGCAAGTCGTCTGGGCAAGGAAGGAACAACGGAGTTAGAAAGGAATGAGAGGAATTTATTTGTTCGTGTTGTTATGTTTTCACTTTTTCTTCTGGGTACGACACGGGGAGATCTGGGCAAGGAAGGCAAAACAAAGAGCTCTAAAAAGAATTTGCCAATGAATTTCCAGAGCTAGAAATTATCCGGCAATTCCGACTCGATTGTCTCTGGGATTCAGAATTCATTTTGGTATTGCAAATTCTTGTCTAACCTTGTGAGTTCTTCACCAAGTTCCTTTCAAACTCTGTTTTCCCTTCCTGGCCCCGACGCTTCTCTGGAAAGTATGATTCGATTGTCTGTGAGATTCGGAATTCTCTCTGTTATTCACAATTCCTTTCTAACTCGTGGGAAGTCCTTATCACATTATGTTCAAACTCTTTTTTTCCCTTCCTGGCCCTGGTGCTTCTCGGGCAACTCTGACTCGATTGCCTGTGAGATTCAGAATTCTCTCTGGTATTCAACATTCCTTTCTAATTCTAGAGCTTCCTTATCATATTCATTTCGAACTATTTTTTCCCTTCCTGGCCCTGGCGCTTCTCGGGCAATTATGACTCGATTGCCTCTGAGATTCACAATTCTCCCTGGTATCCAAAATTTCTTTCTAACTCTGAAACTTCCTTACCACATTCCTTCGTCACTCTTTTTTCCTTCCTGGCCCTGGCGTTTCTCGGGCGATTCTGGCTCGATTGTCTCTGAGATTCAGAATTCTCTCTGGTATTCAAAGCTCTTTTCTAGCTCCGGAAATCCCGAATCAAATTCCTTTTGAACTCCCTTTTCCCTTCCTGGCCGTGGTGCCCTTCGGGCAATTATGATTCGATTGTCTCGGGGATTCAGAACTCCTCCCTGGTATTCAAAACTTCTTTCTAGCTCTGGAAATGTCTTATCACATCCCTTTTCTAACTTCTTTTTCCCTTCCTGGCCCTGGCGCTTCTCGGGCAAATCTGACTAGATTGTCTGTGAGATTCAAAATTCTTTCTGGTATTCAGAATTCCTTTCTAACTCGAAAAAATTCCCGATCATATTACTTTCTAGCTCCTTTCTCTCTTCCTGGCCGGGACCTCCTTCATAAATATATATATAAGGTTTTAACTATTTGTTCTCTGGATGGTTTGTTTGCTTGTGAAGACACACGCGCACACGCACACACGCGCACATACACACACGCAAAACAAACATAACATCCTAAGTCTGCTAATTTCTAATCAAATACCTCTAGACCTCCTTTTTTATGTCCTGGCCTGAAAAAAAAACAAAAATAAAGCAACATCTAACAACATTCCTATCAAACTCTGGACACTCCTTATCACAATCCTTTCTAACTCCCTCTTTCCTTCCTGGCCCAGACCTCCTGGCGTCGTAAAATGAAACCAAAAACGAAATTCATTTCTTCCTCTGGAAAATCAATCACATGTCTTTATGACTCTTTTTTTTTTCATCCTGGCCCCAAGCGCAGAAACAACAGAAAAACAACAAGAACGACATTCCTTTCCAACTCTGGACTTTCCTTGAACAATTCCTCTATACCTTATATTTTCCTGCTCGGCCCAGACCTCACGGCGCCGGGAAACAAGCAAACAAACAAACAACACGAATTTCCTTTGTAACGCTGAGCAATTCCTTAACCGAATCCGTTCTAACTCATTTTTCCTTCCTGGCCCAAACCATGAGGCGTCGGAAGAAGAAACAACCCATAATATGAAAAACGAAGTTGCTCTCTTACTCTGGAATTCCTCACCACATTCTATGTTAACTCCTTTTTTATCTCGCCCTGGCCCAGACCTCCTGGCGTCCCAAAAAAAGGAACTGATTTCTAAGTGTGGCAATTCCTTCTCACATTCATTTCTAGGTTCTTGTTTCCGCCCTGGCCCAGACCTCCTGGCGTCGTTCTCTTCTATTTTGAACAAATTACATGTTAAAAACGAAAATCCTTTCAACCCCTTGAATTTCAACTCATTATTCTCTTCTGGCCCCAATCCATAAACAAAAAACGTGCATTCAAAAAGCGAAGTTCCGTTCTTACTCTGGAATTTCCTTATCAAATCCTTTCCTAACTCATATGGCCTTTCCTGGCCCAGACTTCCTGGCGCCGAAACAACAAAAACAACATTCCTTTCTAATTCTGAAGATTCCTGGCCCAATTCTTGTATAGCCCCATTATTCTCTTCCTGGCCCAGACCTCGCACATTATTTGCTAACTCTGGAAACTCCTTATCAACATCCTTCCTTAACTCCTTTTTGTCCTTCCTGGCCGTGAACAGTGTCCCTTCTAACTCTAGATACTCCTGAACGCGCTCCTTTCTAACTTTTTTCCCTTCCTGGCCCAGACCTCCCGGCGTCGTTCAACAAAACATCCTTTACACAAAAAGAAATAATTCCTCATCGTGTTCCTTTCTATCTCAATTTCCCCTCCTAGCCCGGACCCTCGGCGTCGCAAACAAAACACACGAAATTCCTCTTTAACTCTGAAAATGTCTGATCAATTTCCTTTGCATCTCCTTTGTTCCCTTCTGGCCGTGATCTCATGGCGCCGGAAACAGACGCAGAACAAACCCAACATTCCGTTCTAACTCTGGAAATTCCTTATCCATTTCCTTTCAAAAGCTTGTTTTTTCCTTCCTGGCCGCAAAAAAAAACAATGACCCCCCCAAAAAAACACAAACAAAAACAGCAACGCCGAAACAACAAACCAACACTACCTTCCTTTTGATCCTGAAAGTCCGTATCGCATTCCTTTATAACTCCTTTTTTCCTTCGTGGCCCAGGCCTCCAGGTGTCGTAAAACCAAAAAACGAATTTCCTTTCAAACTCTGAAATTCCTTATCCCATTCCTTTCTAACTCCTTGTTTTTCCTGGCCCGAACCTCACGGCGTCGGAAAAGAAACGAAACGACATGACATTCTGGTCTAATTCTGCAACTTGCTTACCACGCTCCTTGATAACATTTTTTCCATCCTGGCCCAGACCTCATGGCGTCGGGGGGTGGGGGGATAGCAATTTCCGTTCTGACACTGGGAATTCCTTGTCACATTCCTTCCGAACTCCATGTTTCTCATCCTGGCCCTGGCGCTTCTGTGGCAATTCTGATTCGATTGTCTCTGGGCTTCAGGATTCTCTCTGGCATTCGAAATTCCTGTCTAACTCTGGAAAGTCCTTATCACATTCCTTTCCAACTCCTTCTTCCCTTCCTGGCCCTGGCACTTGTCGGGCAATTCTGATTCGATTGTCTCTGAGATTCAGAATTCTCTCTGGTATCCAGAATTCCTCCAGAATTCCTTCCTAACTCTGGAGACTTCTTATCACGTTCTTTCTTGACTCCCTTTGTTCACTTTCTGGCCCTGACGCTCCTCGGGCCCTTCGGTAGCTTGGTCCTTCGCCGCGGCACGCGCGCGTCGTGACGCGGAGTGGGCGGGCGGGCGGGAATCGAATGTAATCGTCGCGGCCGTCGTTCGGTCGTGCGCCGCGCCGCGCCCTGCACGGCGCCCTGTCGTGGAACGACAGGCCCAACGGCCCCGTAGGGTGCCGCCTGCCCTGCGACGGCCCGCGCCCTGTACAGCGCCCTGCCAAGGAACGGCAGGCACTCGGCCCCGCGGGGACGTGACCCCCCGAGCCTTGACCCAGCGACACACTTGGCGCCGACGAAGCCAGGCAAGGCCGCCTGCGGTGAGTGGCCAGCACGCTCGGAGCTGGCCATTCGATGTTCGTCCCCGGCGTGTACAGCACCCGCGTCTCTAGATCGCCCGTTTTCCGAGAGGCTTCGCCCCCCTCCAAACAGGGTCAATTCGTTACCACATTCCTTTCTATTCATGTTTTGTTCCTGCCTCGGCAATCATCGGGCAATTCCGCTTCGATTTTAATCTCAGATTCAGAATTCTCCCCGGCATTGGGAATTCCTTTCTGACTAGAGAAATTCCGTTTCGAATTCCTGTCCAAATCTCCACAAATTCAGAACCCAAATTCTCTGATTATCGCTCTGAGCCGGCAGTAGCAATTCCCGTCACAATTACTGCTGTACTTGCATGCAGCGCGCGCTACAGCAAATACTTCCTAAAACAACGAACGCTGCACCGTAGCCAACAAAAACTATAGTACATGCGGGTTTGCGGCTTTCGGGCAAGGCGAGAGAGGGGGCGCG